GCTGCTGCTGGAGGCTCAGTCCGTGGGGTGAAAGGTCACATCTTAGACAATTTATCCCAAACGACTCCTGCCACTTCACAGCACTACTGACCCAATCACAATTAACAAATCCACATGGTTTAAAATGTAGTCTTCAAAAAAGAAAAAAGGAATGGCAATGGTTAGAGTTCTACCAAAGCACATCTGTATGCCAAAATTCTACCGAGTCTGGAAAGGGAGCACTGATGCCCGCCCACTGCTAAAAGGGAATTTAGAATGGGGGGCCCCCACTTTGCATCCTGTTGGTCTTCCAGTGGTGGTCAGACAATCACCTTTAATGAATTAAGAAAACCTTCATCAATGACCCAGCTTTGCCAAATTTCCATCTTGTTCCTGGCTGCACTGCATTTGTAAAAGGCTGAAAGATTGATGCTGAAGGAGTGTGATAATGGTCTAAAGAGGACAATCGCTCAGTCTAGTGTCCCTTTGACATTACATAACCCACCTAAAGGTTGCAGTCTAGAAGGATACCTAATTTAAATTAGGACAAATTGTCATGGTAATGTCTATGTCTTCAAAATTTAGGTTTTAAATGCCATATAGACAGCATGTCATTTAAAAAGATTGTGCCCTTTTCACATTGTTGACCAGGCATTTCAGAAGTACACGTGTGCAAATCTCAAGAGACAGTACTGACAGGGAACATGAATAAACAGAAACATGATACCTTAAACATGTACATTCATCATAATTTTGCGAGCTTTCCTCCCGTATCTCAGAACGAAGACAGAAGTACTCAACATTTGTGTTTCCATTCAGTGACAATATTTCCATATATTGTATTTTAATGTATGTATTTTAGTTCAATTTAAAAACTTCAATATAAGTATTTTATTTACTTTTAGTTTTCTTTCAAGACACCAAGGCATTAGGAATAATATACTAAAGTGAAAGAAGTCAATAGCTAAGATAGTCTCCTGTACAGGATCAGTAACTATTTTCTTTTACTGTTGTATGTCTTGTAACTGTGATGATTCAACAATTATACAGCAGAACTACAGTAGATAAGACAATGACAGCTTGGCACATAGATCAATATTTTAAACGGTCACATGGTGTAACATCTGTTGTAGTAGTTCCGTATCATTTATATTGAAAGATTGATTTTGATTTTTGGTTCAGCAGAGGTCAGTTCATTAAATCTATTATCTCCAATCCAATTTCCATCTGCTGACTGAAACACCAGATGATTATCATCCAGAATTACTGTAAAATACATAAAAATGCTAAATATAGAAAGTTATCAGGCATGTATTCATTATCAAACGTTACACTAGAAAAATAAATTAGTTCAAAGTTACTGAATAGCAGACAATGGAGTATGGAGAAAGTTGTTCTAAAGAAAATAAGGAACCAGGGTAAAGTTAATCCCCGGAAACGAAGTCCAAAAATATATAAATCTCAGTCAAAGCAAGGTAGATTATTTCCTGTTAAAAAAAACGGGGGCTAAAGAGTGTAAGTTTTGTCAACTTTAAAGCCTTTCACTCCCATTGTCAAAATAGGTCAAGCACTGAAAAGACATATTGAGTCAGACTCAATTACTGGCATAAGCCAAGGACATGTTACTCTCTCTCGGTCTGAGGCTTACAAATAAGAAACTGAAAGGACAGTAGATTGACCTTCAAATACCTCAAAATACACAAAAGCCCCTCTGTGACATAAGGCCTCAGAATGAAGAGACTTACAGCATTACTCTAGAACTCAAATGTTTGTGTGGCATGTGTGGATTTGTTTTACTACTACAGCAAACTGAACCACCAACGCAGTGTGGAGCCCAGATAATTCATTTCATAACTAGATACTGTGTAACGATACATTTGCTTTAAAGCAAAAAAAATAAAGTGAGTGCTCAAAACACAACACAAGAAGACCAAGGTAGACAATGTTCATCTCTTCATGAATGAACTGGCTTTAAGCCCGTTAACTCGAATCTGAAACTTTTGAGTTAAGGTAGTTGTAAATGCAAAAAAGCTATAAAACGCTACGATACTGAACAGCTTCTGATCTTTTCTAGTATATCTATAGGTTCAACTCCCAGCACTTACTGACAGAAAGCGTTCCAAATGATAGCCTTCTAACACTTTGGAAAATCAATACAGATGTGTGTGTGCTTGCTGAATCAATGGCCATATTAATGGCTTTTTTCCTCAAATGACTTTGGATATTTCAGTGACACAGTAGTCTGTGATTTTCACAAGCAATTAAATTCTACAAAATCCCTAACTAATCAGTCTGAGTGAATGGTGACAGAACTCAAAAGACAATTCAGTTACTACACATACAATACAACTCTGGGACAAAGTTCAGTCACTTCAGTATAGTCTTGTCAAAATTATTAATTATAGCTGTGTTAAATTACTTCTAAAACAGAAAAAGGTGATAAACTAATCAAAGTTGATAAAGTTGATAACTAATTCTGATAATCTGCAACCCATCTGGAAAAGAAGTGCCTTGTGTTCTTTGTTATAAATGCACATCAATGTAGTTTCCACATGTGTCCTCTGGTTTGTTACATTGTGCATTTTGACAAATATTTGCAAGGTTGACTTTATCAGTACCATTGAGGATTTTGAATACTTGTTTCTTTACTTGTAATCTTCTCTGTTCTTAAGAGTTAAAAGTTTCAGTTTCTTCAGTCTGTCAGTGTAGGACATTCCCTTTAGACCCAGAATGTATCCAGTAGCTCTTTTGACCTGACTGATTTCAGTGAAGCAATGTCTTTTCTATAACTGAGTGATTGAAAATGTACACACTATTCTAAATGAGTTATTATTATCATTATTATTATTATTATTATGAAACAATTTTAACATCTCTTGATTTACACATCCTAACATTCTTTTGTCTTTTTGCTTCCCTACATTGTCTAGATCAGGTAAATGACTTCAACAGAAACACCATATTATTTCATACAGTATGTAGATCAGTGTTTCCAGTGTTTCCTTTGAGTTTGCCAGTGTTGATTTTAATCTAAATGGGTTTTTTAATTTAATTTGCTGCTTCTCCAGCATTTGCTTATCCTCCCAATTTTGTATAATCTGCTGTAATAACTGTACCAGAATCTGGATCATTGATATAAATTAAGTAGATCAGTGGTTCTAGAACAGATCCCTGCACATGTTCTGTTAGTCATGCCATCAGTTTCAGATTAAATGTGCAATAAATTTAAATAAAAGATACATCTATTGCGCACAATTTATTCTGTGTTTTAGAAGGCATAAAGAGAACTATACATGTCAACCAGAGATGGGGAATCTTTGTAGTGCTTTTTTTAAACATTAATGTATGAAGTGATGGGCTTGATTATTTAGATCTGCAACAGCTACTTGTGAAATCCACTGAGCTGCTTTAAAGCTGCTGAGCACAAAGTTAATGTACGTCATTCCTTGTACAGTTGTGTAAAAAAATATTAGGACATTTCTCAGAGTTAGAAGCAAGAGCAAATAAAATTACTACGGGTCACACACAAAAGTGTAATTTTACATAAATCTACCTTTACCTTGATATTTAAGCCCAATTATTCATTTATCTTCACAACTCCATGGCTGCAATATCATGTAATTTGATTTGTCAGATCTATTCTGCTCACAGAGGTCAATTTAAATTCAGACCTTCCAAATCGACAATCAGAAATTCATAGAAAAAAACGAATAACATTTTCAGCATTTGTCTTTTTCAGTTAATATCAGAGAAAAGAGATGATAAAATATCTGTTAGAAAACTAGATAGCAAAAAAGCAGCCTGCTTCAGTTTAAACCAATGATATAAACAAGTTCTAATCATTCCTCATTAAAATCCCATTTTCCTTACTGATAGAATTTCATCCTTATTTATTCATTTATTTTTTAACCTTTGATGTTGCATAATCTGCATCCAAGGTATTCCACATTAAACAGAAAGATAAAAAGATCAATTCACATATGATAATGTGTACTATAATACAGTTTTTGTCCTTATCTTTGATAAGAGATCACAGGGCATCATAAGGCAGTTTCAGAATTCTTCAAAGCAATCCTAGTAATACGATTTGCGTTTTACAAATGCAAGAAATTATTCTGAGCCTTATTCTTCAGAGTCCAAAGGGGCTGTTTCTGCAGATACATAGCATGTAAATTACTTACTGTAGTTACAAACAGGACGTCTTTTTCTAAACAACTCCTGCAAAGGTTCAGGTTTCACTGTCTCAATGAAATTAATTATAACATGATAAGACTATAACAGAAGTGTAGACGTTACTACCAAGAATATGAAGAAAAATTCCCAACCTCAGTCTACACTTTAAGAGTATAAGTAATAGGTTTATTCCATGCTGAAAAAAAGAAGAGAGAAAACACAACGTTTCGGCCTAAATGTTGTGTTTTCTCTCTTCTTTTTTTCAGCATGGAATAAACCTATTACTTGTTCCTTTGCAGCCGACACATGCTGACGCAGCTACCCACCTGAACTTTAAGAGTATACTGTACACAAGTTCTACACAAAACACATTTATGAAAAAAAAAACATTTTAATGTCTTTTTCAAATAACAATTAAACTGTACTTTATTAAGTTTATCCCCCCCCCCAAGTTTTTCCATTTGTTCCTGCCATTATTTATATCAGATTGGAAAAGAACTTCCAGTTTCACTTTGACAGCATTAAAGAAGCAAACTAACCCTTGGTTTGCAGAGCTTGTGTCATCAAACCAGGATAAAACAAATTAAAAGTAAGGCAAGAGACCCTGTTGATCTAGAGGCGTAATTATTTAAGAGATGTCTTTGAATTCTAAGCTTATCCCAAGAAACCACTCGTACTGTACATGCTCACTTCAATTCATTTTTTTATGAAAAAAAGTGTTAAGCTAGGGTTCAAGGTCTGGTTAGAAATTACTATTGTTTCCATTGGCTTTGACTTTTAAATGAATTGTTTACTTTAGTAATCTTCTCATGTGGCCTGCAGTCAGGGAAGGGAGTGGGACATCTTACCCATCATCCTCCCCATCATTGGCACCCTTGGTGCCAAGTTGTCATCCAGCCCCTCGATTCCCCCGTAGAGGGAGTGAGAGATTCTGCGTTCCCGGTCATCTAGCGAAGTGTTGAGGGGCAAATCAGGACCAGGAGGGCTCCCAGGTGTCTCCAGCTGGAAGAAAAGAGACAGGACATTCAGCGACACTTTCACATGAACTCAACACAGGGCGGGCCCAGCTGCTGCAACCCCAGGCCTGCACCCAACTGGGTGCCAAATGAACCAGAGCTCTTTAGATGGAGCACAAGATAATATGTGGTGACAGCTCTGCATAACAATCACCTTTCTTTTCCAAATTTAGCATCACCCCTCCATTAAGTCATGCCACACATCAGTACATTTCTACTCTAAATAAAAAAACAATGGCTCCCCGATTTTTTGCTCTTTGAGAGTCTGGAAACATACTTATATCCCCTCTGGTGCTATAAGCTGTTGTGCCAATGAGCCAACACTGGAGAATTTGGTTTCTGAAGCTGACAAGCCTGTCAAGCCAACTCTGCTCTTGATAATACAATAAGGACAGGATCTGAAAGTGGGTGCCTGGGTGCTGACTAGTCAGCCATTGCTCAGCTTTCATGTGACACTTTACTACAATGACATGCTTCTGATTTTATGTTTCTACTTCAGTAAAACAGCATAATAGATAGTAAATCAGGTCTGCCTTGTCTTTCAATAGATGCAAGCTCTTCCTTTACAATACACAAAACAGACAGGAGGGTCTGGCGTGTGTTAGTTGTGATTCTGAAAGGCTACAATCTATGTCCAGATTTTATCCACATAATACAAATGTGCTTTGTGGGGGCTTTTTCAAAGTTCTTGAACCAGACAAGCTAACTGTGAACAAATTCTCACTCACGATGTCAGCCTGGAGAGCACTACAGGAAGACCCTTGGAGAAAAGCAAAGTTCTACAGGTAGGAGTTCCCAGTTAGGAGTTAACTGCCCTGACCACAGCTCCACACTGCTGTTCCCCAGAATGGCTATACTTAATACAAACACTCCAGTCCCCAATAAAGAAACCACAGGAAGCATTTAACTAATGATCTGCGATCGGTTATAATGAATTTCCAGTTTTCATTTCACTAAGCTACATTTGGTCTGACTGAGCTTTACGAACCTGTACTAGTAACAATACATTAGCAATACCCAGCCATAGATTTTTTCTAACTGCTTCATCCAATTCAGGGGCCAGAGCCTGTTTTGGTCCTGGGAGAAAAACAGGGTACACCTTTGCATCGCAAGGCAAGAAAGACGTACCCACTCACACCAAGGCCAGTTTTCCCAGAACGCATGTAACCTACCATTACCACCAGTATTTCACCCCTGCTAAACTATTACATAAAATTAAATAAAAATATTGAATATATAAATCCTGATATATAAAAAGTAGTTGCATATAAAGTAGTTTACATTTTAAGGTGGGAGGGGGTTGTCATGGAAGGAAACTGGATCACCCAGAGGAAATCCACACAAACATGGGGAGAACATACAAACTCCATGTAGATAACACCCTAGATCCAGAACTGAATCCAGGTACCCAGCGATGCAAGGCACCAATGCTACCTACTGTGCATAATGATACCATTAACTGTATCAAAAGAAAACAATTCTTCACCTGTTAATAAGGCAAACTCTGAACAAAAACAGCTCTGTAATATGTAATATGTGAAAGCTTTGATTTTCAATAGTAATAAATTATTTTAACTCTTGCAGTACACTCCAGTAAATGGTTCTGCAAAATTTACTCTTGGTCACAATATTGTACAGTATAGTTGATTATTGCAGATGCAGGGCACTTAGAGATTGTGCCACAGTTTTTTTTTGTTACAAGCACTTCACATTAACAATTAATTACAATTATTAAAAATTAATTGTTCTCAAAATTATATTTTGCTTTAGTTTGTTAATCTAAATGTATGTTTGTTTCAAAAGGTTTAAGTAAATGAATGACACTATGACATTTGTTTAATCTTGATCACTCGAATGCCATTACACCATTTCTGGAGTATAGTGTCCCCTTACCCTTTAAATTTTAATTACATTCTGGAATGCTGGTTCCTAAACCATATACCGTATATTAACATGTTGAATTTTCACTTCCAGAGCAGCACTGATTCATGAATCTTTTTCTCCAAGAGATAAGGACCACTATAAATGAAAGACTCATAAACACGCATGACCAATCACCAACAGAAACCAGCAAATATTTTGGGGGCAAGCAAATAGGCAAGCTTGAGCTTGAGGAATTCTCATCACAGAGATTCCCACACAACTGCATCCAGCCCAGCAAAAACACTGAGAATTTATGATTCCTTTGCAGCTGGAAAAAAGTCAAAATCTCTTATTGGTTGTGTCTCATAGATCCCTCCAAGCTAAACTGTTCATGAAACTGGCTTTGAAGTCAAAGCAACAGACTAATGTTTCATGACATTTAAGTCTTGGATTGCAGCCAGCAGCAGTAAAGAAGGAAAGGAATTCATGAAAAATAATTTAAAAAAAAAAGACTCCACCCCTCCCACTACAAAATATACCGTGCAGATGAGACTGATGTTTGCAGAGGTCACCTGACTGGTATTATTTCAGTTGGAGGGTCTCATATTTTTCATATAAATGAGCTGTTTAATGAAGTTCCAAATGCGGGACTTATCTTGCTTTGTCTCATACATCATCGAAAAGGTTTAGTGTACTGAAGGGCCAACACAATTATAATGGGAGCCTCACCGAATGTCAGCTAAATAATAACCACACAATGCAAAAGATTTAGACAGTAACATTTACTTTGTACAATATTTTTCAATTCTTTGTCTTGGAAAAAAACCTGTAGATTAGTAACAACTAACATAAAGGAAGGTCATGGTCCACTTTCACCATGTAAATGAGGATTAAAGTGTGTAAAAGATAAAGATTCTAGTTTTGTAAGGCACTGGTCAAGTAGCATGAGAATGGTAGAGCGATGTGGTAAATAAAAACTTTTTCTGCAGGATTATAAAATCCCATCTGGAATTGGATGAGCTTGAAATAAAGCCTAATTTCACCTTTAGAAAACGTATGTCACCCAACAGGGATCTGTATTTTCTAAGATTGTTTTTCCCCATAGATGACTGTTACTTGTGTGTTGGATCTGATGACACCAAGCCATATTCTATTAAACACCCAGGACAAGGTAAACACCTGGCAAATGACATGTAATGGAGTTGTACAGTGCTACACACAGGCAGCAAAAACAAACTATCAATAAAGAATGGGAAGCAGAGCAAGAAGCTGCTTATAAAAAATATCACTTCAAGAGAATGTGGGGAAGCAGTAACAAAGAATGGTAGGGTATGCAGTTAAAAGAGTAAAGGGTATATCAAGGGATATCGTAACGCTTACGGCCGACAGGCACTGCGTAAGAGCCGGCGTACCAGAGCAGGTGATGTCACCGCCCTTCCCTGTGATAGCAGGACTACAACTACTGGGCTGTAGAGAGATCTCTCTTTAGCTCACGGGGCTGGGTCGCTGCAGAGAGACGCGGGAGTCTCGGGTTCGAGCCCCCGACGGTGTGGGGCCGACCTAATGCGTCAAGGGCGCCTGCCTGAGCCCCCGTTGCGTTACATTGGTGTCAGAAGCGGGGTGGGATAGCCCTTCGCCGGGGATGGCGATTTAAGCTGGGGAGAGTGTAACGCTTACGGCCGACAGGCACTGTGTAAGAGCCGGCGTACCAGAGCAGGCGACGTCACCGCCCTTCCCTGTGATAGCAGGACTACAGCTACTGGGCTGTAGGGAGATCTCTCTTTGGCTCACCGGGCTGGGTCCCTGCAGAGAGACGCGGGAGTCCCGGGTTCGAGCCCCCGACGGTGGGGGGCCGACCTAATGCGGCAAGGGCGCCCGCCTGAGCCCCCGTTGCGTTACAATATTATAAATTACACAGTGCACTTGTAAGATCACAGAATGCTGTGCACAATGTTGGTCACCAAGATACCACTGTGAAATCACTCCAGAAAAGAGAGAGACCAGGTACATTAAATATCCTACCTCCAACAGACTAAGTTTTTATATCTTTAGTCTTAAACATACTGTAGAAAACAACTTATGCTAGGGATGTGAATCAATCACAGGCTTGCACTTTCAACATCCAGTAAGACACTTTCAAAGCCAACCCAATGGACTTTCTAAAGGACTTTCTTTTTTTAAGAAAAAGAGAATAGGTTTCACAATGGGTTATTGATGTTTACAGCAAACTAGCCAGTAATGGCTAGATGTAATTCTCAGCTCTGTTGGCCACTAGCATCCAAACAAGCTAGACTGAACGGCCTTCCTTCATTTGTAATGTTTCTGTAGGAACAAGTGAACAGTTCATACTGTGAGTTACTCATCTTTTTCATTTTCCAAATCACAGCTTGAATCCTGCAACATGCTCTTCATGCCTTTATTGCAATTCCTAAGATGCCAGGTTCTTTCAACATTATCCAGAAAATAGTGTTTATCTGTTACCCTGTCCTAATGTTGTCCAAAAAGCATGCCATATGAACTGCAACCGATGACCTGTCATTGTTTCCCCAGTAACATCAAACAATTATAAACAGACAGGTGGTGAAAAAATGAAACAACTCTGCCAAGCAAATCAACATGTACCTGATGGATTATGAGCTTTTAGATACGTACCAGCAGTTTCCATATTGAACAGTTTACATTTTGCTAAGCGAGCCTTTTTCCAGGATATAAATAACAGTGAAGGAATACAAAATAATGAATAACTTTAAACAAACACTTTATACATGATGACACTGACATAAGTCAAACCTGCTGTTAGCAGGAACTTTGATCCAGTTTACACTACTAAAACAAACAACTCCAAATTAAAACTTCAAAGCAAAAAATGCCCAAACTAAATACTTATGCATGCATATTTATTTAGGTGGGGTTGGGAAAGGCATTGCATTTTTATGCAACATTTCTGTGTAATCCCATAAGAAAGCAGTCAAAAAGAGAGGGGTTAAAGACTTATCATCATTTTTTACCTGATGATATATTTACAGTTAAACGTTCAAGAAATAATGTTTCAAATAAAAAACATGAGAAAAATAATAAAATTGCAGATTACCTTCTTTTTACACCCACATCCCCACATGCACA